ACTAAATACGTCTCATATGCCAGAAAAAATATTGTGTTGTTTCACATGAAATGTCAGATTTTATAGTTTCAGAAATTCAGAGAGGATGTAGCGGTTTTCTGTTGTGTACTTCCAATTGTTTACATATTATAATTAAGCAGTTATTAATCCACCACTTTTGATTATAATAACGAGCTCCCCAATTCATTAAACACTTTTTAGTATATCTCCAAATATCAACATGGAAACACTCGATTTTCGTTCGATATTTCTTTACGAGTTGAAATTCGGTCGGCTGCTGAGGTTGGAAGGAACATCAGTAAATCTTTTGGGGAAGGGAGTATAATTGAACGGACCATTCGCCGTTGGTTTGCTAAGTTTTAGGAATACCGAATTGGAAAACGAGCCCAGCGGACGATCTCCAACCTTAATTGACACAATGTCTTTAAGCTTCAAGTGAAAGAAAACCACCATCAGACAGTCAGAGGACTCGCAGCACAACTAAAAACAAATGGAGGTGCCATGTCAGGAACATAGGAAAAGTCAAAAAGCTTGATCTATGGGTTCATGAGCTCACTGAGCGACAGCAGTTGAAGCGCCTTGATACACGCGTTTCGTCGCACGCCAGGCAAAAAACCGAACCTTTTCTTGAAAGAATAATCACGATGAAAAGTGAATTGCATATGACAATGAGTACTGGTTCAACATCGACGAAAGACCAGTACACAAACCAAAACCAAATTTACATCCAACAAAATTTATGGTTACCGTATGGTGGTCCATGGCTGGAATTATTCACTACACCTTTTTGCCTACAGGTACTGCAAAGAAATTGCCGAAATGCATAAAAAATTACTCAAAAAACAATCTGCATTGGTAAATCGGAAAGATCCTATATTCCTACACGCCAACGCCAGATTCATGTTTCAAAACATACCGTAAACAAATTGAAAGAGCTTGGCTGCGAAGTTCTTCAGCCAGCAATCCACTTCACCCTCCAGACTTCTCTCCAACAGATTTTCACATGTTCAGGAATTTAGACAACTTCGTCCAAGAAAATATTTTTCAAAATGATGTTCAAGTCCAAAAAGCGTTCTCAGATTTTGTTTTATTTCAAAGCTCAAAATTCTTCAGTTCTGGCATAAAAAAGTAGATCACGCGTTGGGCAAATGTACTTCGAATAAAATTTTGTTTTTATATAGTAATTTTACTAAAATCCCTTTACCTTGGAATCGGACATTTTATGTGAAACAACGTAATTGTTATAAACGTTGATATGCTAAATTTTGGGTTAACATGTCAAGTTATTGCATAAATTCAAAAATTAACTATAATGAAAAGGTGTTTATAAATTATAACAGTGACTGTACAATTAATTAATTGCAGCACGTGCTAAAGAGTATTATTTTGCTGTTAAAATAAAATGTAAGCGAGTCCGATTATTTTTGTCACGCTAGCGGTTCTGATTCGAACCCTCATAGCCCATAGCTTTTTAATTGATCATAAGATGAATAACGTATTGTAAAGAAGTATGACCGCGACACTCAGATTGACTCTTCTTCATAACAGGAATCACTTCACTTTATAAATAACGGGGAAAAATGTAAAGTCTAGCATTTTAACTAAAGCGTCACAAGGTAGGTGTAGCCAAGTCAGTTATTTTAATTTTATTGAAAATTTTGGTATGACTAACATTTGTATGATACTTTCTTTCCACTGTCCGACGAATCCATATTAAGGTGGCGTGAAGATACTTTATATTGCGGCTGCCGTTTCTGTTTTAAAAGCACCAGTACCTAGGCAAGCTCGTCTTTGAAATTTTGGCAGTACTTCCTCTGTCTTTCTTCGCTATATTTTTTACCATATTATGTAACTTGTATACGGAAAGTCTTACTATCGTAAGGTACGACCATAAGATCGTCTTAGGATTTAACTCCTAAGTTATACCACAGGGTATTTGGTATTTTTATAGTAATCATAAGCATTGACCCACAAATTTAGCTTCTGGGTCGATCAAAATGGGCATTACTTGAAAGGTGGAAAGTCCCAGCCTATTGTAACTGGATAGTTCATTCCTCCAGTCCTTTTATCCTTAACCCTCCAATACAATTAAAAATCACCCTAGTTCATTCTGTTTCACCCTCAAGAATCTTGGGATTTTATCCTTGACTAAACTTTGTTCTGGAGGTGCCCAATTGTCTGCCGCTGCTTTGACACTCTTCAGCAGTTCGTTGTACCAGCATTCTCCACTGTAGAATGCATGAGCTCGTAGTTTCCTCCCTTATTATTATTCCCTACTCTGATTACGGAGGACTCACTGTGGAGCTTGAAGTAAGCTTAAATGTCTAATGAATTTTTTCGTACATATTACTTTGACTCCACATGGATCTGTACACAGGCAAGTTGTTTTATCCTTTCTACAGGCAATACTCCCTTTGGCCCTTCCTCAATAAGATCTTCCACTTCCACTAACACACATCAGTTTTGCACCTTCAGATCCTTATACCCTCTCAAACTAGCTCCCGCCCTTATGACCTATACCTCCTAAATATAAAACTACTGCATTTAGCCTTCCTGATCCTTGCCTTTAATTCATGGGATTCCCTTCCTCACTCTCTCCGCCTAGTCATATCCTTTCCCTTTCTTAAGTCTAGCTCTTCGTTTCAAATTAATTTCAACGACAAAAAAAAGATATACGTTTGCTAGACGACAAACTTGTAGTTATGTAGACCAGTCATGCAGGTCTTTATAATTCTATAGGTTCGATGCAACAAGTCTAGTTGATGTAAAGAAAAGTCATAGGGATAGAAGAGGTGGTCTCACAGTCAACTTCACCTACCAGGAGGTTTCAGTTTCAGCCTGGCTAGCGTTTCTTTTGTGTAGGAGAATGTCTGAATCTTTTCGCCGACAATCAGCAGAAATATACGCCTGGATAATCCCTCACAGTAACACAGAGTGTCTTCCGCTGTCTCATTTTACTCTTGGTAAAATGTGCACAATGATTCTTTAGTTTCAGTACTTTTATGTTTCAGTACTCCTAACCGATGCACATGCTTTCTCAGGCGACATTGTCTAGTCAGGAGATTTACCAGGATCCAGTTATACTTCTGTAAGTTTTACGTGTGTCCGAGTTTAAAATTTTGAGCTTCTTGAATTCCAAGCCTTTTTATTTCTCTGGCAGAGTAATATTGCTAAGAGTTCATCATATGGGAAACATTCAAAAAACAAAACATCGACAATGACATTATTGTAAAATGTTGAATGACAAAGCTTTGTGATACAACAATGGATTAAAAAAAACTATCATGAAATCACCCAATGCGTAATTCTTTGACTTAATACACAATTGTCAGTTCTTTCTCAAGACAACAGATAAAAATCATTTTGAGGATTACCCAAGATAAAAATTGAACTGGGAAAAATGATTACATACTTTTAGGCTCCCGAAGAAGGCAGTGAGCGACTAAAGACCTGTGTAATCATAGATGAATCTTTGAAGATCATGAATAAAACACGAGGATGAATAAAAAGGGCGTTTTTATGTTTCGATGCCATGCCTTAGATCTTGAATTTTTTAGAGTTAGGAATCTTTGTAATTCGCCTATTATGGGTGTCAAAGAGTACTTAAACCATGTTAAACAGCAGTCAGCACGAAAAATGAAAATGTGAGTAGGTTGAAATTTAAGAAAAATTATGGAAAAATACAGCCTATACTAGTATAATAAATAGAGAATCTGTTAAATGGAATAACAAAAACAATAAATAACTGATTTGATACTCTACGAGATAATTGATAGTCGAACAAGTTTTACTTGCAGAAAATATCATTATAGTTTTAAAAAGCAGTGTCTTTGTGACGCATAAATCTTTAAAATAATTAAAATTCAGCTAGCGCAGTGCAAGAAAAGGTTCAAATCTAACTTTTTACCAGTTGTCAGACTTTCAAATGTAATTTTTCTTTCCATTTATGAAATGACACGCTATGTAATAAATCAGCGTTTCCTCTTTGTTTGTCGCGTTATTAGATTTGCCCAATCGTATTTGTCAGACCGGTTTTCAAAATCGAAATTCATTGATGGCTGGTCCTGGTTAGTGCTTTTCCGATGTTAGGGGTATTCACGATGTCTGTAAGATGTTAACTCGTGTTAAATGTCCAGGAAGATCGTGAACGCCCCCGACGTTTCTTAGCATGTTAAACATTAATTTTTCCGAAATACTGCACCTGGCAATTGATAGAACCAAAAATAAAGCTATATTGAAGGCTTTTTGTTGTTTGTTATGGTTTTGTATTGTGTTAAATTGTAAGATGCCAGAAGTTAATAGAAAAGGAAAATTAATCAACACTTTGATTCAAAATGCTATCTATGCACTCGAAAGTATTAACAAATGACACGCTTCAATTCGTGCCGACATACCTAACTTGTTTCCTAAGGTTTAACAGCCTACAAAAGTATAAAAATGAATGTATAATGACAGGTCAGAAATTAACAAAAGAAAAATATTGGTTTGATTGAATTAATGCATATTTAAGAATAAAAAACAGCTGTTAAATTTATAGCTGCCATGTTGGTTACCTACACCCTAACGGATAACAATATGACTACATATCCGACCTAACATCTAACATTGTCCCCAGCCTGTTAGATCGAGCAATGTTAAAGCAATTTAAGCAATGTTTAACTAGCCGATTGTTACAAGTCATCATTTTTCTCGATCTAACAGAACCTAACAGGGTTAACACAAAGATCGTGATTATCCCTATGGTTTCGAATTGAATGAGCGAGAAAACAAATAATTAATAAACTTTAAAGCTGGGAGTGTTTTTACTCATTTAAAAATAGTTGTTTTAACTAAACTTCAGAAATGCGACAAAAATGACAATCATGCTTGTAAAATCTGTTGTACCGTTTAACATACAAGCAACCAAACAACGGAAACTAGATTTGAATAAAACAAATAATAAAACTTCGTCATGTTTTCTCAACAAACTTAAAAGCACGACTGGTAAATTGACAACATACCTCAAATTGAGATGATTAGCGTCGAAAACGGCACCACATCCTAAATTTCACGATGTTCAACTCTCAATGAAAAATATCTATAAAAAAGAAGAAATAGTATTATTATTTAAACACATTTATTGCTAATTTAGTTAGAAAAGAATAATATTAGTATATCAGTAAAGTTCGATAAATCTCAATAATCCTTTCTTTTTTTTAACTTCATTTATTTGTATCTACAACTGTACCTATATTATATACAACCAGCAGGTTGGATAATTTATGTTTTTGGCATTACGGGCATTATAAAGAAAGTCACCCATTGGCAGCCTCTCTGGATTAATAAAATGATATTAATCAATAATCTTAAATATTATTTTCAAAAGGTAGCATTTTCATCGAATATTAACTAAAATTGCAATCAAAATATTCGAACGACGTATAAAATTGTGGCCTAAAGTTTAAAATTAAATGAAACAACCAGCTGTTATAGTTTTTTTATTCGTTATTTATCACACACTACGAATATAGGAATATATACGAAGAGACTATTTACATACCGAAAACATCTGCTGCTATTTGTCAGACGACACGTTTCAACGTTTCAGGCAAATTAACGGTTTTCGACCTTCAAAACTATATCAATATTTGACGATAATTCAATTCAAATATTGTACTAGAGTGAAAAAACGAACGATAGAAATAAGAATTTTGAAATTTGAAAACTATTTATTCTATTAAAAACTATTGCTTTTCTTTAGCAATGGAAATATGTTTTTGAAAATAACATTAAATAATATATAGATAACATATAGATATTACTGATTTATCTAAGCCCAAATCTGCCTTTCTTTTGCTTTCAGTACACTCTCTAGAATTCTGGAAGATTTATTGAGCAAGGAAAGATCTCCACTATTTATTGGACTAACTTATTGATTTAGCTTTTTTTACAGGTTCCATTCCAAAAATTGAAGGGCCATGAACAAAATTTTAGTCACTAATTACTTTTTTACGTAGATGAGTCCACCTTATTAACCAAGATATTTTTACAATTTTTAACATAAGCTTTCTGGCGAAAATTTTAGTCATTACTTTAATTTTACGTTTTAAATTAATTTTTTATTCAAATTGTAGTTAGAAGACAGTACATACCCAAAGATTTTTCTTACTTTTAGTACATTATCTAGAATTCTGGCAGGTTCATTGACCAAGGAAAGATCTTAACTATTTATTGGCCTAACTTATTTATTTAGAATTTTTCTAGTTTGTATTCCAAGAACTGAAGGGTCATGTTCAAGATTTTAGTCACTAATTACTTTTTTACGTAGATGAGTCCATCTTTTAACAAAGATTTGTGTTGTAGTATTTAACATAACGTTTCTGGCGAAAATTTTAGTCATTACTTCAATTTTACGTTTTAAATTAATTTTTTATTCAAATTGTAGTTAGAAGACAGTACATGCCCAAAGATTTTTCTTGCTATTAGTACATTGTCTAGATTTCTGGAAGGTTTATTGATCAAGGAAAAATCTCCATTATTTATTTTCCTAACTTATTTATTTAAAATTTTTTATAGTTCGTATTCCAAAGACTGAAGGGTCATGTTCAAGATTTTAGTCACTAATTACTTTTTTTACGTCGATGAGTCCACCTTATTAACCAAGATTTGTTTTATAATATTTAACATAAGGTTTGTGGCAAAAATTTAGTCATTAGTTCAATTTTATGTTTTAAATTAATTTTTTATTCAAATTGTGGTTAGAAGACAGCACATAACAAAAGATTTTTCTTGCTTTTAGTCCATTGCCTAGAATTCTGGAAGGTTTATTGACCAAGGAAAGATCTCCACTATTTATCTCCTAACTTATTTATTTAGAATTTTTTATAGTTCGTATTCCAAAAACTGAAGGTCATGTTCAAGATTTTAGTCACTAATTAATTTTTTTACGTAGATGAGTCCACCTATTAACCAAGATTTGTTTTATAGTTTTTAACATAAGCTTTCTGGCAAAAATTTTAGTCATTAGTTCGATTTTATGTTTTAAATTAATTTTTTACTGAAATAGTGGTTAGAAGACAGTACATACCCTAAGATTTTTCTTACTTATTCCATGAGTTGAAGATTTGTCATTAATTATTTTTTACGTAGATGAGAGCTAACATTTAAACGAATGTGGTTAAGGTGATTTGTCTTCTGAAATGTATTGGAGCTTGTTTTGTTTAGCCTTTTTTGACTGCACAGGTTAAAATTATTTGCATTCGTTAATGTTTTACTTTACAAGACTGGATATTCCTACACCAGACTTTTCAATATAGTGCTTATTGCCTATAGTTTTACGTTTATGTCCCATTACCACAATGGCTGGTGCCGGGCCAAAAAATAATATGGGCCTGTTAACTTTCGGATATATTAAAGCGAAGGCCGTGGTTATCAAATTTCTGGCTCCGGGTCAAAAATTAATAGACGGAGTCCCATTAATATCCGGACAAATTAATTCGGTGTCGAGAGCTGTAAAACTGACTCTCTGGCGGGATCACTTGGCTGAAAAATTGATTTAAAACCCTCTTTTTAACAAGTTCTCGAGTTTGGTTTTTGTCTCAGAACATTTAATTTCCATGGTGCGGTCGCCTGGGAAATGGGGCGAAGCTAAAAATGAAATTCGAAGAAACTTTGTTTTATTTTAACCGTGTCACGGGCGATCCTTTTTGATTTTCTTCCGAAAAAAACCAGATGGTTTGAATTATCCTTAACGATTTGTATTTCAGGTTCGATTCAGGGTTGGCAGTTAAAACCCGGAGGGGAGAAAAGCGTCCACTGGCTTTTAAGAATGTGCATGTTTGAAACTCGTAAGACGGACGCGATTAGAAATCTGATGACAAATGAAATTAGACGAGATGTTGTCCACGTTGGCCAAAACCGCTCCCCCCAGGGCTAGACGGCTGGGAAGAAACGTTTTGATGATCTTCGGAATTTTCTAACACAATTGATTGAGCCAACTACCAACCTCGCCGGCCAAAATGCTGACCAATCGTTAAAAAAAAGTAACTTTTGTCAAATTCTTCCGCACCTCTGGTCTTTAAAGAGGAGACTGGGAGTATTAAACACTTCAAAGACAAAAAAGTACTTTTCACAATTGAAATCGGATCACAAGAAAAAGTTATTGTCGTTTTTAAAGGCATTATTGTCAATATAAACTAATCATCTATGTTAAAACCCTTTTGATATGCAAACTTTTCTATCAAGATGTAAGATGAAAATGGTTGTGAAAAAAATCGTCTTCAAAAGAAAATTCAAACATTTGAAATGATTTTTGTCACCCCTCGAACGACATCAGGCATCACAATAAATATTTTATTGGTAATTATGCAAATAATAGTATTATGTTTATAGGTCTGAACTGTTTGTAATTGAATATCCTGACCAACAAGGCCAAATGACCATATTTCCTTGCAAAAATTGAGGTTGTTTTTCATTGCAACAATCTGTGTTAAATTTAAATTAAATAAAACTCAAAACTAACCATTTTTTTACTATAAAAGAAAAAAATACCTCCGTAATTCTGTACGCTGTTAATGCGACACAATTGTATTTCGTGTATATACAATACAAATATATTTCTTGGAAGACATTATATTTTGTTTTATTATACAGATCCTTATACATAAAAAATATGTATAACAATTCGGAAATAAATTTATACATAGGAAATTGTCTTTGCATATACTAAAAACTTTATTTTAGAACTTAGTGACTAAATTTTAGATGATTTTATCGACATACTTTACGAGAGTCAAGTCTCACGATCACATAAGCAAGTTACATATGGTGGCAAGAAATAAAACAAAGAAAGGCAAGGGAATTATAAGAAAAAGCCCAAAGAATAATTTTTTTAGCATGTGTGGCCGGCTTAAAAAAACTCACAACACCGTAATGGAACTTACCTAAAGCTGCTACCCTTAACTATATAATTAAAAGGATTAGGGAATTGGGAATTCGTCGTACAGTGAAAAGAATCCATCACAGAAGCACTGGTCATAACAAAAATTTCGACAAACCTAATTTGGTATGGCTAAAAGCATCTCTAGCGCATTAGAGAAAACATTAGACTTTGAAAATCTATTCAACGTAATTATTGTAAAAAGAGCTCAATGGAAAGAATAACAAAAGAAGAAAAACGTGGAGCTCTTCTAGAGGGTACAGATGGCTCAAAAATCGTGAAAAGTGATCTTACTCTCCTTAGTCCACCACATCTTAAGGATGTAACTATAATGATCTATAAGTATCCAGGTAGTCCTAAAGGCATATCTGTTCAAATCCAAAATACTCTAGAACAGCATAAATACCCTAAGAAAACTAGGATCTACAAATAGCACGTCGGTCATGGTCCCAAAATCTCAGGCAACTAGGAGAACATCAAAGCCAAAAAGGAAGCCTCCCAGCAACATATAACAACCTTCAGATCATAAATAATAGCTACATTCAAAAGATATGGAATCTTTGGTTACTAAAGTACGCAAGAAATACTGGAAACTTATGCCAGGTATGGGGCAAGCAAAAATACTACACTCTTGTAAAAACAACCCAATGGGACAAAGAGGAATCTCTTATAATCACAAAGGGATTAACGATCTTTCCGGGCATATTTCCGGGTTGTTCTGCTGTAAAACCAGACTTTAAAAAAAGAACAATCTACAGATGAACAACAATGTCTAGAGGAGACAGGGACAACGAAATATAAAGCCTTTGCAATTGCCCAATGGGACTCAGGAAAGCTATTCGTGAGCAATGAAGACCTCGATCGACCTCAGAAAAAAACCTTAATAAGGAAACGGAAAAGAAACGTTGTTTATATTTTATATGACGAGGAAATATAGATTTGAATTTTTTTCATTCTACATGAAAGAGATTAAATATAACTTCCACTGGTGGCAATCAAACAAGCGGCACTGATTCAAACGTTTAAGACATACCGCAAATCTTGTTTAAACTCTGAAAAAAATTTTGTTGGAACAAAATATGGTCTGCAACGATCAATAAGCTGTGTATTAATTAAAACTAAACGTTGAACTATTTGATACACAAAAAACAACAATTGGG